AGATCCCCTTGAATTGAAAAAGAAAAGAAAAATATAGTTGTATTGCTGTGAAAAATATTCCTTAACAGTGGTGACTCTTGATGTAATTGTGCTTAAAGAAGTATGGAGTTAATATACATTGATGTGAAGGTGGAGTTATGGTTTGACATAAGTATGGGGCTTAAATATTAAAGTGTATGTATTAAAGTACTTAGGGAGGTGTAGTCATTATTATATTCAAATATATCTTATCCGACCCGCAGCCTACATTATAACCAATTAAAGTCCTACTTGATCCTAGAGTGAATGAGCTCGATTAGTAGAGTAGTACACTACGGGCAAGCCTATGGTGCATCTTTTGTGGCATATGAATATTATTTCTCAGAGTGAGTGAATTTTTTCTATCTTGAGTTCCTAATTGCTCTTAAATTTTTATTGTGTGTGGAACTACTCTCTTTTGTTGTGTGAGGGAACTTGATTCATGAAGGAAAGGTAATGTTATTGACCTCTATGTTAGAGTGAGTAAGTGAGTTGTGAATAATGTGTGATACTTGTGAGTTAAATTTTGAGGTGAAGATGTTACACCCTTAAGCTTAGTCTATTTTAAAGATTCTTGGCGTGATGAGTTAGCAGAATTGTTTAAAAAGGGCGTGTCTATATAAAGTGTAGTTTGATTGCTCGAGGATGAGCAACGTTTAAGTGTGGGGTGGTGATGTTTGGCTATAATTACATATTTTTAGTACATTACTTACCTTACATTTTGGGGCTTTAATGCTAAACTATATTATAGTTGTGCTTAATTTAGTCTATGTTATGTGTAGATACATTAGAGATGAAATCTGAGCAAAGTAAATATTTAATGTATAATGCATGCTCTACAACAATATGATAGTGAGCAAAGAAGAAAGCTAAGAAGTGATAAAGTGAAACTAAGCAGTAAATTGAGCAATGATTAAAGAAACAATGCAAAGGAATTTGAAAGGAAAGACAAGAACGTGAATTTGGCAAAAGTTAGGCAAAGCAGATGGAATTGAAACGAAGCAGAAACAGAATAGGCGTAGCAAGGAATTTTGCTCGCGAAACATATCGCTTCGCACAGTGAGAAGAGAGCGTTAGAGCTCGCGTCGCCTGGTGAACAGCGAGGTGAGGCTCGCGTTAGAGGTCGCGAGGCACGGTCTACAGTGAGCGTGTTTCGGATTTTTAAAACCTATTTTGTCTCCTATTTGATCTTGGACTTGGTTATTTCGTTTGGGTCTTTTTCCTACACATATAAATAGTCATTAAACACTATTTTTAGAGGAGTTAGTTTTGCGACCAGAGGCAAGAACATCACATGGACAATTTTTGGAGGAGAAAATCATAGAGTTCTTCATCCCTTTATCTTTTTTTTGTAATTTATTTATGCAAAATACTTAGAAAATTGTTACTACGAACATGAGTGGCTAAAACCCATAATTCTGGGTTTGTGATTTAGCCATCAATATTGTTGTTTTACGTTGACTTAACCTTGATTACAATTTACTAATATATGATTGTTTCTTCAATTCTGTGATTAATTGCTTAATTGTCTGGCCAGCAGTTAGGTTCTATTTACTATCTATGCTATGCTTGGGAAAGCCATGTTTAGATTAGAGAAGAATTGAAGAGAGCATGATCTTAACTCTTGGGGGGAGGAGGAATTTATGGTTAGGATAGGAATATACATAGTCATCGTGTTAAATATCGTAATCTTAATGCGTTCTTGATAGACTGATTTCATAGGAATATATGCGTTAATCTATTTTGAAATGAATAGGCGAGTAGTACTTCGGGAGAAGGCTATGAGAGCAATTGTTCGATTAATTAGCAACCATGAGTGAATTGTATGAAAGGGAGAGTTAACTAGAACACAATAGGATTGGCGAATCGATCACAACCGTGGAATATTTGTCTCTACTGAATACACCACAATTATTTTGCTACTTGATAATTTAGTTACTCCTTCGAATTATAGTTTAGTATAATCACATTCTTGAACTCGATTTTGGCTTGACTGAATAACAATCTTGGTAATTTTAGTGGGTAGTTGATACAAGTCCATATGGGTTCGACACTCGACTTATCATTTTATTACTTGTACGACTACATATACTTGCGTGTGCGTTTGGGGAACCAACATAAATATTAAATGAAGAGATGTTATATATTAAAACATAAATAAGGATGAAACGTTCAAAAATCTCTCATATTTAAACGATCTTTTTTTTTTTCGAAGCTGCTTATTACAGCAGAATTTTCTAGTTATCTATATTTTGTGCACCGGTTTAACAGCAATCATAAGGTTAGGCTTTAAAAGTTAAAAATTCAAGTATTTCGAAAAACGTAATCGCACCGACCGATGTTCTTATCAAACACAAGACATATATATTAATATGTGTTTCGCTTTAATTTGTATATGCTAAGATTCTTTATTTAATATAAACATCAGAGTGCGGATAAGTATTTACCCACATTTCCCTTGTATTGTAAGTTTCTACACTTAATAAAGGTGCTTTCTCCTCTCCTTTGGATTTGCTAATTAAGCACTTAAATATATTAGTAGTATTGCAATTTTGATTGAAACCAAGTATAGATCCGTTGTTACATGGTTCTTGGATTGATATGAGAATTTTCCTTTAAAATTTAATTGTTAGCAAGGGACCTATCATTACGGTTTGTGTATATATTACATGTAGTAAATGCATCTCTTTAATCATATTGACGATTTCACACTAAACTTATTTGTCTAGGTGCAAATTCTACCATATTAAGGATACATGACGATGAATTATTAAGTGTTCACACTATTATATTCATTTACAAAGCAAATTAAAGTATCTTAATTTAGTTTGATGTAACAAATGTTTCATGCATTGTCTAAATTAAATTAATGCATATAGGATGGGAAACGACAAGTCTACAATTCTAATTCAATATGGAAGTATTTTCTTTTTTCCTCTTTCTTTCCCATTTGGTATTAAAATCTCCAACGGTCTCACATTTTTTCAATTTTCCTCTAAGGCAAAAACTTGATTTAAATTTAGCTAGTGATTGGATGTGTACATAGGACCTCCCAAATATAAAAGTATTCTCTCGCTCTACATACACACACATAGTGTTACAGCTAATACACATAAAGACAATGACGATAACCCTGATATAAGAAAGATGCTAGAAATATTTTTATTAGTACTCACATATAATAGGATAATAGAGGTTGTTTTGCCTATGTTCTAAACGTTGATATTTCCGGTTTGGGTTTCGAGAAAATCTTTTCTTTCCATTCTCATCAATGATGGACCTAGCAAATACTGGGAAAATGCCTTTTTGTAAAGTAATAAGTAATATTATATGTTTCCAATAAGGTCCCTTAAAGAACATACTTCCCAAAGTTTCTTTGCAACTATTCCCTCCCTTTTTAATGTACATGGGCATGGTATAGTTTGAGTACGATGTAAAATTTAAGAAATAAAAGAATATTTGCTTCTCAGAATTGAAAGCACGTGAACTTCGACCAATATTTTAAAATGTATTTTTTTATAGAATTGAACTTTTGTATTTTTCGTATACTATTTGGATATCTGAATTTTTATTTTTAAATATTGTGTTGATCTAATTCAACTTAGGTCTTATTGATTCTCGAGAAGCAGAAAGTAAAAATATTTTTAAATAAGTGAATATATTGCAGTGGAGTAATAAACATGGCAAAAAATATCATGCAAAGAGTAACGCACGTTCAAGAAGAGTACAATTGGAACTATTGAAAAGAACCCCATGTACACTGGCCACCATATAGCAAAGAAAGACAGGATGGCCTGCAATAGTAAGCTTTTTGTAAGTTTATAAAAGACAGTTGAAGATGAGTCCAAAACTATATAATAACTTTTAACTGAACTTCCTAAACCCATATCCCAACCACAAATGGTCTTCTTAATAATACCTTTCGGCTTTATGTTTGTATCTTCCAATGGGCCCTACCTAGCTAGTTCTTTATTGCTTCATTTAACTACTAATATCTAATGAGCTACTTAGTTGCAGAACTGCTTAACAGAAATTTCTGTTCATGAGAAAAGCCCTCTTAAAGTCCCTTTTCATACATACCAGAATCTTGTTAAAAGAAACTTTGAATTGAGAATGTAATTAAGTAAAAGATACGTAAATGTTTGAAAGTAAGAGTAGTCACATCCGGCATTTACAGTAAACTGCATTAGTTTACCATGGTTAAGTATTAATAGACTGTATATTAATTATTTATGATTAAATACTAATAACGATATATATAAAGATGCATGTTATGTATTTATTGAATTAGAAACGATTAACATCGTCGTTGGACCAAGGTACAAATTAAAAACAGTCTTCTTTTATTGAAGTCAATTGAAAGTATGAAAAGCCTTTAAGAACCTTAGACTTTTTGGACTAATTTTCAGCTTTATAAGGTGAGGTGAACGTGTCTAATCTGAAAACTAACAGCATGGAGATTCTGTTGAAATAAATATAGGGTTAAAATGGTAATTGACACTTGGTTAAATGGGATTTAAGCTAATTTCAGGTAGATGATGTAAACCTTCTCTCTCTAATCTCTTTTGTTAATTTGTTTCATTAAGACCAGCCCGTTTTCACACGCTCCAAAGTCAAATATTTTGTATAGAGAAGGTTAATTTAGGAAAATCATTGAAGAATTCTATGAGAAGAATGTAGGAGATGGATACATATTGAAAGCAACCTTAATTACTTTTTATAATTAAAAAAATTAAAACAATATTAAGTCATGTTGGAAATACAGTTGAAACAACCATGAAAGCAACAAATTTAAAGCTTCATCAACAACTATTACACAACAGAAATTCCAAATATAAATAAAATTATATGATCCAAAGAAAAACAGGACTTTAGTTAAAAATAAGAATACGACAAAAGAAATTTGACAGAATTACATGCATAGTTTAAGGGGATGAAATGTATTTAGTCAAATATAAAAAGGGAAGGGGTGTAGAGGTTTATATGAGAAGGCAGAGAAAACAGAGTTTTAAGTAAGAGAAGGCCAAAAACAACCTCCCCCTTACAAAAGTTCCTTAGTGCTCACGTTTCTATCTCTCCCCCAAAAACCAGTATTTATGGCCTTGTTCTCTTCCTCTCTCTGCTTTTTTTCAATCTTTCAGGTCATTTCCATGGATTCTTTTCTTCACTTTTCTCATTTCTTTCCCACTTTCCCTTAAACTTTTCTGCAAGACCAATATAGTCAGTACCTTCTTTTAATTTCATTAGTCTTGATATAGTAGTCTTTCTCGTTGTTTTTGCAACTGTTTGAAAAAAAACCATTAGTCTGAATTTTACAAAGGGGTGTGTAAGGGTTTAGGTTTTGATAATGGAGAATTTTTCTGGAGTTATTAAGGAAGATGATCAGCAGCAGATGGAGCTTCCTCCTGGATTTCGCTTTCATCCAACTGATGAAGAGTTGATTACTCATTATTTGTCTAAGAAAGTTGTGGATACTGATTTCTCTGCTATTGCTATTGGAGACGTTGACATGAACAAAGTTGAACCTTGGGAGCTGCCATGTAAGTTGATTTCTCCCTTTTTTTTACTTGTCTGAATTGTTTTGTTTTGTAACTTTTTATGTGTTACTGATTATGTTTTCTGATTGTTGGTAAATGTAGGGAAGGCAAAAATTGGGGAAAAAGAATGGTACTTTTTTTGTGTGAGAGACAAGAAGTACCCAACTGGCCTAAGGACAAACAGAGCAACTGCTGCTGGTTATTGGAAAGCCACAGGTAAGGACAAGGAGATTTTTAGAGGAAAGTCTCTTGTTGGTATGAAGAAAACTCTGGTTTTTTACAAAGGGAGAGCTCCAAAAGGTGAGAAGACAAATTGGGTAACTCATGAGTACAGATTAGAAGGAAGATTATCACTTCACAACCTTCCCAAGACAGCAAAGGTACTAACGGTCTTTTTTTTAAGATTAAGATGTAATATTAAGGCATTTGTCCTTTCATTTCAAGATTCTTAAATAATTCTTTGTTTATGTTTTTTGACTATTGCAGAATGACTGGGTCATATGCAGAGTATTTCAAAAGACAACTGGTGGGAAGAAAATTCACATATCAGGGCTTATGCAATCAAACTCTACTGGAAATGAAATGGGAAATTCCCTTTTGCCACCATTGACAGCTTCATCACCCAGTCACGTGCACTGCTTCTCCAATTTTCTTACTGCTCAAAAGAGTGAAGAAAACATGATCAATTATTTCGACACTTCTCCTAATTTCTCTGCTCTCTCAAATCCTATGGACATTTTCCCCAGAAATTCTCTTCCAAATACATTTTCCTGGAACCAAACAGTCCCTTTTCCTCAGCCAGGTTCATTTCCTGTACAAGATCCTGTAAGTCTTAGGAATTTGCTTGAGAATTATGGGCAAAACATGCAGCAGAGTTTGAAAAAGGAGAAAGAGATGGTCAGTATATCACAAGAAACAGGTCTAAGCACTGATATGAACACTGAAATTACATCATCTGTCGTTCAACAGGATCTTGATTGCCTCTGGAGTTACTGAAATTCTTGACACAAAAGGGCAAAACAAACAAAGGAAGAGCAGAAAGATGAGTAGAGCTTCAGTAGTACTAGTAGCTATTATGGTGTGGAATTAATTGTTATGTGTATAGATTTTCTAATCCCCTAAGTTGCATTCAACATAGTAAACCTTATTATGTCACAAAAAATATACTTATCATGTAGAAGTATGTTAAATTTTACTATTTTATTTTTCCTTTTTTCCCACTTCCAGTTGTCTCACTGCTGCTATTTGTTATTGTGATATTGAATTTGTAAAAAAATTAGTATAGTACTGAACACTGTTAGCATGTGACTGTATGAGATCAAGTTGGTGGCTTACTGATCTTTTATTGTGTTCTTTTCTCTTTGAAGCTACCTTTGTTGTCTATGGATTCTAGCGGTTGCTTTATCCAAACTTTTAGCTTCTACTTGAATTTTTCACTCAATTTAATTAATTAATACAATCAAAGAACATTTTGTGGGGACTTCAAAACCAATATGCCGTGGACCCTCTTCTTCCCCCCACAATTTGTGTGTAATTGTGTCATGATTAGGAGATAATCTCAAAGTGCTTTAGGACCACTTCAGATGTCAAAACATGGTACTAACCACGTGTGTCTTGTCTAAGAAATGATCTCAATAACTGAGAGCCAAGTCGTTATCTTCTTTTTGACAAAGTACAATACTCAATATTAATTGTAGGAATTAGTTGCCTTAGGACCATCTCTTCAACGAACCAAATGTCATTGGATTAGTTGTAACGACAGTAATGTTGGCAAGTTCAAATGGATGTTATGTATGTCAAGTTGAGTTAGAATTTGGAAATACAAAATAAATACAAATGTGGTTCTTGCCACGCATTAAATTAGAAAACAAAACAGTTCGAGGCGCTAAGCATGAGGAAGTTCTGTCGTTTGGATGTTTCCTTCATGCTTCAGTAGTCCCACATGTAAAACAAGGGGTTTAAGATTTATGTACTTCCATTGAACGTCCAATCCAATATTTTAATTTTATGAGTTCATGAATCAGGTTCCAACAACTGAATATATCACCTTGTTTAAGTTAGGACTCATAGTTCAATATATCTTACAAGTTCAATTGATTTATACTGATAAACCAAGTTTAGGCTAAAAATTATAGGTCCAAATAAACTCACAAGACTGGATCCGCCCTTGCATGTAAACAAGCTTAGTTTGTAAAAGGAATGAACAAACTGAAAAGAAGAACGAGGTAAAGTTGTACCTATTGAGAATATGAAAAGTTTCACAAAATCTGTCACAAAGATGATTGACAAAATGGAAATAAGGTTGCTAATCTCATACATTCAATATTCACAGAAAATATCATGGCATATCATCAATTGTTGACAGAGGTTTCCTTATCATGGTATTTTAGTGATGTGACAATTAACATCACTGGCAACATGTCTGTTTGGTGGAGTGTTATTTTTCCAACTAAGGCTAAGGAGCAATTGTCCAGAAAACATATTGCAAAATGGAACTTAATAAACATATGGTAAGTTCAGTGCCAACTAAAGAACTCCAGAGCCAGAAATATGAGTGATAGTAATATCTGGTAGTATTCCTCTACATGCTCTTTTCCTTGTGCCTGACATAAAAAAGAATTGCTAGTCATTGCCCTTGTCCCGACTCAGATATGATCCGTCAGAACGCTATTACATCAATTATATATTACTTTGATACATAATTTTTTAAGTGTGCATTCTTCAGTTTTAACTGAAAAACTCAAACAAAAAGGAGTAAATATTTTTATGTTTTTAATTGACTTTGCTTTTCATTCCAGAATATTTTTGGTTTTTCAATTCAATTTTCAGTTTCAAATAAAAATTTTAAGAACACCCGAAAAATTAATGAACCTTAATTTTCTTCTTAAATTGTTTGTCCAAAAACTTGTATATCTATCGATTAATATTGCAACAAATTGTTTAATTAGCAAGAATATGACATCAATCTAGGTAAGCAAGAATATGACATCAATCTAGGTAAGCAAGAATATGACATCAATCTAGGTAAGCAAGAATATGACATCAATCTAGGTAAGCAAGAATATGACATCAATCTAGGTAAGCAAGAATATGACATCAATCTAGGTAAGCAAGAATATGACATCAATCTAGGTGAATTTAAGTACAAAGAATGGTAATTGAAACAATCAATCAGAAGTCAACAAGATGCATAAACCCAAAAGGCAAAGTGCTGAAGTTTATTTCGTTTCGGTACTCGACTAATTTCTTATTTACACAGTAAAAACCTAAACAAACAGATCAATTAACTCAAAACCGATTGAAAACAATAAATTTAGGTGACTTTGGCCTTTCACACTTAAATTCATTCATTCATTCAACTTCCTAGTCATATATTTGTACATTGGATGATGACACTGCAATTCCGAGACCTTATTCACACTCTCATCAATTGTACTCGTTTACAAAGAATAAGAAGGAACATTTTTCTTCTTTGTCACAATGAAAATAGTTATATTGATTCTTCACTTTGATCATTTTAGCTGGAAACAGTCGACCGAAGATAAGGTACGTATTTTTAAATTTTAATTACATGAAAATACTCCATATTGTTTAATAACGTAACATACGCTATCAAAACCTAATACATAGACGATATTTTGTCTTCACACGAGTGACACGGGGTTAACAAGTTGGCAAAGGTTATGGCTTATGATTTCAGCTTCCATTCTATTGGGAGAATTGTGTAGCCAATAATAACGCGTCTGACAGCTAACAATACTTCACATTTTATTTTATGTATTACTCCCTCCGTTCACTTTTACTTGGCAGGTATACTAAAAATAAATTTTTATTTTTATTTGTCACTTTACGCTTATTAAGAGAAGACAACTTCTTTTTTCATGTTATACCCACAGTATTTATTACTCATTTCAAATCATTTTCTCAAATTCAATAAAATATGCATTAATTAATATATGTATCATGGTAAATTATGTACTTTATTTATTATTTTTTAAAGGGCGTGAAAAGTCAAAACGTGCCAAGTAAAAGTGAATGGAGGGAGTAGTTGGAACTTAGAATATTAAACGATATCCAATATTCTCACGTGATCCAACTATAGTACTAATCATTAATGCTCTCATTGACCTTATTAAAAATTAATCATGTATGGCCCTCTTAGTAGACTAATTAAATTTTGTTACAATCAAGCTCCCTTTCCCGATATATATTCAGACAAACAATCGTTGAGATGAAGTGTAAAAGAGATATATGTTTTAAGCAATATTACGATCATGAGAAAGTATTAAGTACTCTTAGCGGGCGATTGGATTAGGAAAAGACTGAGTTTTAATTTTAGTTTTGTTTTAGTAAAATATTATTAGTGTTGGAATTTGATTAATTAAAAATGATTTGCGTTTGTTGGACAATTTGTTTTGGATAACATCTTATCTGAATCCAAATAAGTATCACTTTAATAAATAAATAAAAAAGTAAATACGATTCTAAACACGAAAATTGACTCTAATTTTACAAACCAAACTTTTATTTAATGTTTTCAACTAAAGTGTCCTAACATAACCTTTAAGAGTCGTGTCAACGAGTGGTAATCTTTCAACAAATTTCTTCAAAGAGAAGATGGTTGTCATGATTAAACTTTAAAATCTAAAAAAGGAAAACAACAAAACCCACGGAGGAAAAGAAGGTAAAGAGAAACGAGTGGACAAGTGGAGGACAGTTAAGTCATTTGGGCAAATGGCCAACCTCCATACCATAATCATAATACCAAACCTTGACGTGGTTGTTTTGTTCATTTGTTGTGTGTTTTTTGTATTGTCCCTCCATGAGTGAACGAGGTAATTAGAATTAGGTTTCTCTAACGGTGGACACGTAAGCGAATGGGACCCACTCGGTCATTTCCAAATAGGACACGAGGTTCAGGTTTTCTTGTTTGCGTCACCCTTCTGGTGGCTAACGAACTGGTCATGACTTTCTGGCCACCATTCACTTGCCACGTAATATCATTTGTGGGCCCTCCTCCATACTTTATTAATCTGCTCAGGTGGTTCCCACGTGCTTGCGTAATAAATATTTTTCCGAAATTTTAAGGCTGTTATAAAATAAAAATTGTAAAGTAAAGACAAGTATAGACAGAAACTGATATATTATTCAAACTTCAAACTTATGTACACAATGAACTGAAAACTCCTCTATTTATAGAAGAAAGGAAGCAGCTGCGAGGCTTTTCAGGAAGCAGCTGCAAGACTTTTCTTTAGCTGCTTGTAAGTTGTCTGCATGAGATGCTTGCAACCTGCCTGTTTAATAAGAAGCTGCTGCAAATCATTTCATTGAGTTGCTTGCAACCTGCCTGCATCATCTGCTTGTAGATAAACTTCAACGGAGTACTAAATGGATAATCTTCTTCAGGAAGATTATCTATAGCTGAGTAATAAATGAACATCCACAATATAATTATTTTCATAACACTCCCCCTTGGATGTTCATTAAAAGGTATTGTGCCTCGTTAAAACCTTACTAGGAAAAACCCTGTGGAAAAAACCTAGTGAAGGAAAAGGAGTACACATATTTAGTAATACGCATTTCTAGCTGCCTCATTAAAAACCTTTCAAGAAAAATCCCATGGGAAAAACCTTAGTAAGGAAAAAAGAGTACAGTGCGTATTTCACTCCCCCTGATGAAATCTTATTTCAAATATTTGAGTCTCTGTATTCCAATCTTGTATACCATCTTCTCAAAACTTGAAGTTGGCAAAGATTTAGTGAACAAATCTATCGGATTGTCACTTGAACGGATTTGTTGCACATCAATGTCACCATTTTTCTGAAGATCATGTGTGTAGAATAATTTTGGTGAAATGTGCTTCGTTCTATCTCCTTTTATAAATCCTTCCTTCAATTGGGCTATGCATGCAGCATTGTCTTCGTATAAAATTGTGGATCTTTTATCACACTCCAAACCACATTTTTCTTGAATAAAATGAATCACTGATCTCAACCATACGCATTCCCTACTTGCTTCATGGATAGCTATTATCTTAGCATGATTTGAAGAAGTAGCAACAATTGACTGCTTTGTGGAGCGCCATGATATGACAGTACCTCCACATGTAAACACGTACCCGGTTTGAGATCGAGCTTTATGGGAATCAGATAAATAACCTGCATCTGCATAACCAACAAGATCTGCACTACCTTTGTTAGCATAAAACAAACTCATATCAAGAGTTCCCTTTAAATATCGCAAAATATGCTTAATCCCATTCCAATATCTCCGAGTAGGAGAAGAGCTATATCTTGCTAGTAAATTAACAGAAAATGCTATGTCGGGCCTTGTAGCGTTAGCA